CCGGTGCTTGCAAGGCAAATATTTAGCCACTAAACCATCACACTGGGCCCAATTATCTTCTTTTTAAATTTATTTTATTTTTATTTGAAAGGCAGTAGCACTGAAAGAAGGAAAGACACAAAGAAAACTATCTTCCATCTGCTGGTTCACTCCCCAAATGTGTGCAACAGTTGGAAGTGAGCTGATCTGATCTGACGCCAAGAGCCAGGAGCTTCTTTGGGCCTTCTGTGTGGATACAGACTTGAGCCATCTTCCACTGCTTTCCCAAGCTGTATGCAGGGAACTGGATGGGAAGTGGAGCAGCCTGTACACAAGCCAGCACCTATAGCAGATGCTGATGCCACAGGCAGAGATAAGTTAGTATGCCACAACTTGATCCTGATATCTTATCTTCAATTTCAATTATTATTTTATTTATTTATTTATTTATTTTAGTTTTAGTTTTTGGGATTCCCCCCACCTCTCTCCCAACCCTCCCCCCATGGTGGGCTCCTCCCCCCTGTTGCGTAACCGCAGTTCAAGTTTAGTTGAGATTCCTTCATTGCAATCATACACCACGCATAGAGTCCAGCATCTCACTGTCTGGTCAAGTTCAGCAGTTTCAGGACAGAAATAATATGGACAACTAGGATGATGAAGTGGTTAAATAATGTTTAAGAAGCATTTGATGACTGTTGAATAACAGTTCCAAGTACCATATTATTGGTAAAGAGCTAACATACTGGTGGGAGAATGTGGTGAGGATAATGACATTTTAAATGTAACTTGACAATATAATACTAGGTTTTCTATCTTTGTCTATACCCACAATTCCATGATGTACTTAAACAACAGAATGTGGGCCCAGCATGATGGCTCAGTGGCTTAATCCTTGTCTTACAAGCACCAGGATCTTATATAGGCACCAGTTCATGTCCTGGCTGTTCTACTTCCCATCTGGCCCTCAGCTTATGGCCTGGGAAAGTGTTAGAGGTTGGCCCAAAGCCTCGGGACCCTGAATCCATGTGGAAGCTCCTGGCTCCTGGCTTCAGAGCAGCTCAGCTCTGGCTATTTATAGCCATTTGGGGAGTAAACTAGTAGTCTACAGATCTCTCTCTCCTTCTCTCTGTATCTCTTCCTTTCCAATAAAAGGCCCAGCTGCATGGCCTAGCAGCTAAAGTCCTCGCCTTGAACACACCGGGATCCCATATGGGTGCTGGTTCTAATCCTGGCAGCTCCACTTTCAATCCAGCTCCCTGCTTGTGGCCCGGAAAAGCAGTTGAGGACGGCCCAAAGCCTTGGGACCCTGCACCCGTGTGGGAAACTTGGAGGAAGTTTCTGGATCCTGGCTCTGGATAGGTACAGTACCGACCGTTGTGCTCACTTGCACTCACTTGGGGAGTGAATCAATGGATGGAAGCTCTTCCTCTCTGTTTCTCCTTCTCTCTGTATATCTGACTTTGTAATAAAAATAAATCTTTAAAAAGAAAAAAAAAAATCCTTTTTTTTAAAAGCAGAATGTTTAACTTTTAACTATTACTGAAGGACTGACTATACTACATAATAATATGGGAGGGGTGGAGGAGGGGAATGGTGAAGGAGAAAGGGGAGGGCAAAGGGGGAATCCCTATAACAACAAAATGATGAAGATATGCAGGTAGGTGCGGCTTCTCTATAACTCAATAAAATGAAGTCAATGTTGAGAAGGCTTCCTGGAGGAGTTAATGGTTGGGTTGAGTCTTACAGGGTAAGTAGTCAGGCAAAGAGGGCAGAGGGACAAGGAAACAAGAGGTAAAGAGACAAAGACACGAACAGGGAAAGGTCTTCCTGGCCTTTCTGCAATAGCCTCCTTAGTCACCGGAAGAAGGAAGGTACTGCAGCCCTGTCATGTCTAACATTTTTTGTTTGTTTTTAAAGATTTATTTATTTTTATTGCAAAGTCAGATATACAGAGTGGAGAAGAGACAGAGAGGAAGAACTTCCCAGCGATGGTTCACTCCCCAAGTGGCTGCAATGGCTGGAGCTGAGCCAATCTGAAGCCAGGAGCCTCTTCCAGGTCTCCCACACGGGTGCAGGGTCCCAAAGCTTTGGGCTGTCCTTGACCACTTTCTCAGGCCACAAGCAGGGAGCTGGATGGGAAGTGGAGCTGCTGGGATTAGAACCAGTGCCCATATGGGATCCAGGCACGTTCAAGGCGAGGACCTTTAACAGCCAAGCTATCATGCCAGGACCCCATGTCTAGTCTTGATATGCTAAGTAGTGGTGACCTATGTGGTGGTGACCTCATGAGCAGCTATTATGACTGTAAGCTGCCAAGTTTACCACATAGCTCCTACAGGTTTAGATACAATGCTTTCCCCACTTCCCAAACAATCCACACTATCTAAAATGGTAATCTCAATACCTCCTGGATGAGTTTTCTGTGATAGTGTTACCAAAGTTTCACAAACTGATGGCTTAAAGGACAGACCAATATTGTCACATGGTTCTGGAGAATAGAACTCTGATATCAAGATTTCTTTAGGGTTCGTTCCTTCTGAGGACTATGAGGAAGCATCTACTTCCAGGTCTCTTTCAAGTTCATATGAAGTTCTGCCTGTCATCCAATTTCCCTCTTCCTCTTCTGAAGGATTTACTTATTTGCTTGAAAGTCAGAGTTACCAAGGGAGAAACAGACAGCTCCTCCACTCTGATTCACTCCCCAGATGACCTTGTGGCTGTGTTGGAGCCAGGCAGAAGCTAGGGGCAGGGGCTTCATCTGGGTTTCTCACGTGGGTAACAAGAGTCCAAGTACTTGGGCATTTTTCATTGCTTTCCTCTGGTCATTATCAGGAAGCTGGATTGAAAGTGGTGCATCAGGGACTCAAATGCTGGCACCCTAATCAGTTACTGTCATCACAGGTCACCGTTTTACCTACTTACCACAATGCTGGTCCCCCAAACTGCCCTTTCATTACAAGTCTTACTAGACTAGGACACGACCCTCTTCCCAACTCCAGTATCAATTTTAAATTTTTTAAGAATTTTTTTTTAATTTGAAAGATTTACAGAGAGGAGACAGAAATCTCCATCCTTAGCTCACATTCCAAATGGCTGCAATGGACGGAGCTGAGTGGATCCGAAGCCAGGTGCTAGGAGCTTCTTCTGGGTCTCCCTTGTGGGTGCAGAGTCCCAAAGCCTTAGGCCATGCTCAGCTTATTTCCCAGACCAAAAGCAAGAAAGCTGGATGGGAAGTGGAGTGGCCGGGATATGAAGTGGCACCCATAGGGGATGCCTATGGAGGATTAGCCTGTGAGCTACTCCCAGTATCAACAGTCTTAACTAATTATCTTTAAAACAATCCTGTTATCAAATAAAGTCAGATTATGAGGTACTAAGACTAAGAACTTCAGCATAGGAATTTTAAGGAGGAAAAATCTAGCTTAAGGCCAACTTTTAATTATGGAATATACCAAGAAAATAAATTCTACTTGCTTATTTTCCATATGGTAACCTTTTTGTATTTATTTACATAGTTTCTCAGTATCATGGAGTGCTTAGAATTTGGTAAATTTATCTAATCAGTGTCTTATTCTGCTGTTTCATTAAATGCTGAGAATTCTCATAAGATATTTTCCAAGCAGTGTAATATTCTAAATGAAGATGAGCATGGCTTAGTTGTAAACACAGTACAAGGAATAATATTGAGGTGTTGGGACAATTTTATAAAATATTACCCAAATATGGCATGATGAGTAATACACAAGCTGGCTACAAAATATGTTCCTGGATAATTTGATATGGTAATTGACAATTATTTGATAATATGGTATCCCTGTAATTCTGTACTATACTAGTGACAACTTCTAGTCGACTGGAGAGAGGGCTGGTGGTTATTTCTATATAACTAGTTATTAATGTTATACTGAATTCTAACTTTAGGCATCTGATTAAAATGACCACTTTTAGACCCTTTTTCCTTTGCTTACAAAATAGTCCTGCTATCTAGTTACCTAAATAATTCCTTATGTCTTTTCATTTTTCTGATATTTCACAAGATACTTCATACACCAGTAGTCAGTAGAGATATTACAATTTCTTAAGTCACTTTTCACCCAGGGCAGAGGCAGAACAGTTTCATTCTATATTGAAGCTCTCATGTTGCAGAAGCAATGCTGGCTTAGCCCAAATTAGTAACTGTGTATGAATACAACCAAGGCTCTATACTTTCGATACGATTAATGCTGTTTTCTCTCGCAGTCCTAAATAGGTTTCATATTCTTGTTATTTCCTAGCCCATCTTTTTTTTTTTTTTTCACTCTAGATGTCCAAATTAATCTGTCCTGTATTTGGTTGGCTTCGTTTTTACTTTCTGGTTGTTAAATCCTGAGTCTTACGGGGTCCTTCCGTCCTTTCCCTTGCTTTCCACAGAGGTTTTCTTCCTTCTCATCTACTCTGGAAGAACCTTTTCTTTCCCTTCTTATGCTAAGTTCCTTTTACACTCAAGCAATAACAGGGGGATTTAAATTCCAACCCGGAACTCGGAATCACACGCTTGGCACGACGGGAGTTGTAGTTTCCAGGACTTGTCCCTAACTACCTCTCGCGCCGATTCCTCCCATCACCTAAAAACTACAACTCCCGGAATGCGACTTGAGGCGGATCCGCCCCTTTGCGCACGCGCTCCGAGGCCGCAGGATTTGAATCGGCGGCGTTGTTATTGACGCCATATTGGGGCCGGCGGCGGGTGGAAGAGTCGTCCGGGAGAGGGGGAAGCAGTTGGATGTGTTCTCTGGAGCTCTGCTTGCCGCAGCCACCTCGCCATCCGTAGGCCAGCGACCGCTGCTCGCGAGCGGCCGGCTGGGATCCGGCCTGTTAAGATCTGCGTCTCAGCCTCCGAGCCGTCACTTCGAAGGGAGCAAGCAGGTCTCGGCGCAGGAGCGAACTCCGGCGCGGCGCAGAGCTTGACTAGACGGCGGGGGCGGCCGGAGCCTGTCCCGGGGGAGCCGCGCCTGAGGAGGCGGAAGAGCCCCCCGCTGACGCGGCCGGCGTGCGCTGCCGCCCGCCCCTCCCGGCCTCGCTCGGGTCTGCCCTGGCCGGTGCCCCTGCCGCGGAGGCAGCGGCGGCTGTGCGAGCTCGGCCGGCTGTGCCCGGGCGGCCCTCGGGTCCCCGCTCTCCCCTCGCCCTTCCCCGGCCCTCACCCCTCTCCGACCCCACCCGAGCCCGGCGCCTCGGCTGCCTCCGGCCATGGCGTGCGGAGCCACTCTGAAAAGGACTCTGGATTTCGACCCGCTGCTCAGCCCGGCGTCCCCGAAGAGGAGGCGATGTGCGCCATTATCGGCGCCCACCTCGGCCGCCGCCTCCCCGTCGTCCGCGGCCGCGGCCACCGCCGCCTCCTTCTCGGCCGCGGCCGCCTCGCCGCAGAAGTATCTCCGCATGGAGCCGTCCCCCTTCGGCGACGTCTCCTCCCGCCTCACCACAGGTGGGACCCGGCGCCGCGGGCTCGGGGAGGTGGTGGGCCAGAGCGCGCGGGGTCAAGTGCTCGGGGCTGCCACCCCGCTGGATCACGGGGACACAATGGGAGACGGCCCGAGGTGGCCGCGGGAGGTGTGGTGCGACAGGGCCGGGCCGGCTCGGCATTGTGAGGAAGAGGAAGATCCCTGGGTTTGGGGTGGCATGACTGGAATAGGAGCGTTTCCGTGATCGATAGGACCGCGGCGGAAATGATCAGCCGGGGCGATGTTCTTCAGAAATGGCAGCGAGTAGGGTCACATTTCGCCCCGATCTCACCGCTGTCTGCTTGAATGGATTGGGTTGCAGCCATTAACTCCGTAGGATTAGGTGGTTGGACTTGAGGCGAGGCGACAGCCCCTCCTCCGGTTCAGACATGGCTGATTTTAGTGTCGAGGGGGTGGGGGGTGGGGATGGATGTCACTGGGGCGAGATCTAGGCCTGTCATTAATCACCCACAAGAACGCCACTTGGGCTGAGTCAAGACCTGTTTCCCTAGCACGGTCAACAACAAAGAAAATAGACTTCCCCGAGCAGTGTAAGGTGATCGCACCACATGTCCAGTCCTTGGGAATCTTCAAGTTTTGACGAAAAGCAGATTGTACTGGAAATTGGGGCCGAGTGGTTTCTTTTATTTAGAATGCTTTTTCTGCCCCCAACGAAGTAACGTTGGGAGAAAACCACGTAGACTTCAGAATTAATTAAGAAATCACCCCAAGATTCCAAGGGACTTAACAGACTTTTATTTTTTACTCTTTCTATCTTGAAACGTTTCCTGAAAGTGACTATGGGGAATGCCTTTTGGTTGCTTTGTACCAGCGTGTGTACGCCTTCCCCATCCCCCTTATTTTCTGGACTTTGAAAACCCTGTGTGCCCCTGGCGCAGTCCTGGGATAGGCTTTTGTGGACTTGATGTGTAAATCGGGCTCCTTTGTGTGTAGCTTGCAAAGGTTTTTTTGTGAGAGCTTTGGTGGTATCGCATTAGACAAAGCCTTTTCATAGCTTAATTTAAATGTCTCATTAGCTTAAAAAAAAAGTAAGAAATATGTACTTCTATTTTTGGCAACTTCCATTTGGAATTGACTTTTTTTTTTAAATGTCGCATTCCAAACCATCTTTCCCAATTTCGTGAGACTTAAATACCCATCTACCATTTTTCCCAGTAGTTAACTTGAGAGTAAACTGCTTAAAATTGTAGCCCGTTTTCACTGAGATCTCCCAGTAAAATGAATGACTTTACCTATGCCTGTTTCTGTGATTGATTGGTAGGCTTCACCTACTGAAAACACGAGACTAGTATCTGGAAGGAGCACCTGGTGATTTGCAATTTTAGTGCCTGTTTAGTGAAATAGTATGGAAATTGAAATGGTGTCATGAGATTAGTTCTTAATGGCTTGTTAAGGCCTTTTTCAAAGTATCTTGTAACCAGTATGTTTCATTCAGAGGGAAGTGGATTCGTAGTGTGAAGTTGGGGGGGTTAATGTACATGTGAATGTTAGCATTCTTGGCAGTATGTAAAATGGGGAAGGGTGGCTGTAACATGTCTCCTCATTTTAAAAAGGATTCTTCTGAAAGAATTGTGATCATAGGCAAGCCTGTCATTTCATTGATGTCTGGGTCAATGCAGTTGTCTCCACAGCTCAGATTTTACTTACATCATCTTCTCCTACTAGATCTCAAATTCACATTTTCTGAAATATTTCCTCTGATCGACATGCTTTTTGACTTTGTAGTTTGGTTACATGCTGAAATCAATTCATATCCTAGTTGATTTTTTTAAAATGAAGCTTGTTGAAAGCTAATTAGCTGTTCCAACTAATTCATATTAAAAATTCTACTTGAGAAAACTAGTTAAGATTATTGAAGGTTTGCCTTGTTCAAATGTATATTATGACTGTAATTTTGGAAGGCAGTCTACATGTAGTCTATTTGGCTTTGGGTTTATGGAGGGCACTTTGGGGTCTGTTCCTGTGTGATTTTTTTGGGTGATGTTATTGTCACAGCGGGAGCTCCCGTGATGTGTAAGGTATTGAGGAGCTTCCCAATACTCTGGCTACCAAACTTGGATATTATTTTCCCCCCTAATTTTTAGATTCCCATTTTGACAGGGGTGAGTCTTAAGCTTCACAAGAGTGAATTCTCTTCAGCTGAAGCAAGTAGTTAGGATTGATTGTCCAAATTGAGATTTGGAGAACTTTTTCCTTTCATATCTTAGAGTTCAGATACAATCTATAAATAATTTAGCACTAGAGAACTAAAGTTAATTTTTTTCATCAGAATGTGTATGCAATTTATCTTGAATATTCTCTGGAAAATTTAATATACTAGTTCCTTCTGATAGAGTAGCTGAAGTCATGTTGTGGCTTTATTTAGTTTCAGAAACTTGGACATCTGTTTTAAACCTTAGCTATTTTAGTTTGACTTGGCAACTATTATTTAACTTCATATTTTTCAAACTTGGAACTTAATACTGGGGGAAGGGGACTGGTAAAGCTGAAGGAAGTTAAAGCTTGCTTGCTTAACCTCAAAACTTAAAGCCTTTATTATGCTAATTAGCATTGTGACATTTTAGGATACCCTTTGTCATAGTGTACACCAGCCTGGTTTTTGGGACACCTGAGGTACTAATTCGGATGTTGTGTAGGGTTAGGAGAGGGTCAGCCGACCACTGTGGCTATCCCCTGCTGCAGCCTGGAGCCAAGAATGTGTTCTACGTTTCTGATGGCTGGAAAAGGAAAATTCACAACAGGTGAAAACTTTGTGAAGTTAAAATTGCATTGTACATGAATCAACTTATTGGAACGGAGCTTTTAAAAGGAAACATTGTCCATTGTAGGCTACAAGGACAGAATTTTGTGGTTGTGACAGACTGTCTTGCCCCAAAACTCAATGTTTCAGTCTTACCCTTTGCAAAAAAAACCAAAACCTCACCCATCCAGTTAGGGTGTCAGCAGTGAGGCCCACAGCACCTTTGGATATGGGAAGAAACAGTGGGTCACAAGAGTAGATGATCAGAATTAAGGGGGCAATATTGTAATGGTTAAGAAAAGGCACTCACTGTGGTCAACTAACATGGAAAGTGAATTTCAAAGTATTCTGTTCTTGCTGTGTGGTTTTTGAAACATCTCATTGTATTACCATTTAGCCAAAAGATTGTCAGGACATTCCCAAGAAGTTATTTTAATGAAACCAAAATATTATGCCACATTGTGATCGACTGTCAGTCAAATGCAACACATTGTTTTCATAATAGTGTGTTGAACATATCCTCCTGTTGATGTCAACCTATTTGTGAATTTGTTAGGCAGTTTAATATAGTGTTTATGGCTTGGGACCATTGTTCTAGACAGCCTTAGGAATTAAGTTGGATGAAAAGTTGAATTCTTTTGTAAGAAATCACTGTATTTGTTGGAAACTTGCCATTACAAATAGAAACTACTGCTTGTGACTGGAGAGGGTTTAAAGGAATATAGATTGTTCATTACACATTGCTGCATGCCTGTAGACACAGACACCAGCTGGCTTAAATGAAATATAAATGGTTCTAGGAAAACAAATGAGATGTCTGTTGGAGGAAGCAGCATCTCATTTCAAATGGCATTTATATTAAGTCAGAAGCATTTTTTTTTTAACTATTTTGTGGTTATTTAGACAGCTGTTAAGCTGATTCTACGTTCTTCACTGAATTTGGCAGATAAATGTTTTTAATGGTCTTTGTACTCTGGATTTTAACCTGATATTTAGGACTATGTATGTGGTTGTAGTGATTTCATAGTGCCATGAATTGTGCATTTAAGAATTTTGCAAGCTCATAGCCATTAAAAACAGTGCAGCTGTATTAATTACTGAGTTTTTATTTGTTTTTGGCAATAGAAAAGGGGTAATGAGCACAGAAACAAAACAACTCTAAGTGTGGATGCTGGTAGCCATATGGTTGCTGTGGAAGCATAATATGAAATATAAAGAATAGTAGGTTTCTTTAGTTTTTGACTATCTTTTATAAATTTGAGAAGAATTTAGTTTGAAAGTATCTAGTTTTGAAAGTTTTCTATTTGGAAAAAAAAAGAACCTTGACTAATACGAAATGATAGTATGAATTGAGTTTAGACCTCAGTTGGTTCATGAAACTAGGTAATGTTACTAAACGTGGGCATTTTCAAGTACTTGTAACTCAGATAACTAGAAGTTTATGGTCCCTTTGTGTTAACATTCTGTTACTGTTGTGCATTAAGAATTCACAAGAAAGTGAATTTCTTATCTTTGAGAAAACTACCTACTTCTAAAAGAGAAGAAGGAGAATGAATTCCTTAAATATGACCCAGGCTGCCATCTACAGATGGTAAACGTCTTCATGAAAGAATTTACTTATCTTTTGCTTAATGTTGGGATTCTAGAACTCTGCTTACTTCAGGTGTTTCTCAACTTTCTAAACACATCTGAGAGAGATGATTCATTAGTGGCAGTCTTGGTGTAACAATAATTGTTAACTGGATTGACTTGTACTAATATGCATGGTTTGCCAAAAAAAAAATTATGCAACCAAAAAATTTTTTAGTTGGATTTTTGGACAAACTCTTTGAAGTACCCTCATACAGTTTTAAAATTAGCGCAACATTTTTTACCGTATTTTTAAATGTCTTTATCATGAGGTTTTCAAATGCGGAATTGTAGAATTAACTTTTGGCATTTCCTATAATTCTTAAATGTACTGAAGTTGAAAAAAAATGTGATTCTGTATCAGTTCTTTTAATGCTGTTTTGTAGCAGTATAGTCAAAATAGGTGACATTTCATGGGAAAGGTATCGGACTAAAACAAGTTGTAATAAAAACTACAATGAAGACATCAAATGATGATTTTTGAGGGGGGCACTTGAAGTCTTCTGTAAATGTAGATTGCACTACATCTAGATAGGCTTATTTACAGGTTTTTTTTTTTTTTTGTAATTGTGCTTTTTAATTATTTTCCCTGAT